GACTAAAATGGCCAATCTCAAAACTTTTTTTTTACATTCCAGGACATGAAATATTTTTTATTCCTCTTATCTCATCATCAAATTAGTTGAATTTTTCTGGGAAAAGGATTTTACAAATAATTTTATCCTGAATCTGGAGAAGCATTATTTGTTTAATAAATTGTTTATTTGCATTAAACAAGCATCATTTTAAAGATGGCCTTATTCTTGACCTGTGTGTGTCTGTAATAAGTATTGCAATGGTGCTCATTATGTAAATTTTATTTTACTGTATTTGTAATTTGTAAACATATTTCTGAAACATTAGGCATCACTTTGATTCACATTTGGCTTCTGGTTATTTCTGAACATAACCCTGGAGCCAAGTAAGGTCACACAAGGGATTCAATTTTATGGGAAGTCTTTGAAATAGGCCTCATTGTAAGATTTTCATATATTTTATTTTTAAATCATATCCTATTATGTAATAGATTCGTGCATTTCAGCTTTTTAAAAACTACACATTTTTTTTCATATTATCCAAATTACAGCAGATTGGGAGATCTTTGTTTATAGGTCTCATCTACAGGGCCCAACAGATCGGTTGATAGTATGTTGTTTTTCCGCCCCGCTCGAGAACTTTTTACTTAAATGAAAATTATTTAAATACACATGCATATAAAGGAAACGTTATTAAAAAAACTATTTTCCTATCACAATATGTAGAATTTATAATTTAAAACTGCATAGAAAATTTTAATTGTAATAAGAAAGATTCTATGCCATAGATAAATAGTGCTAGTTTGTTTCACTGTTGTTTAACATCCCTCCTGAGAATTTTTCACTACTGTGGAGACGCCACCATGCACTTGCAAGTGGAGGGCTGCAAATTTTGTCCTTTACTCGGACCTCGGTTTATAGGTCTCATCTAAAGGACCCAGATTGCTTGATTGTGTGATGTTTTACGCCTCGCTTGAGAATTTTTTACTTAAATAAAAACTTTACCATATACTTAAGGGTTTCAAATTTAGGCTTTTACTCGGTGCTTAGGGACATTGAGCAGTTAGGGTTCTTTATCATGCCAACGCCTACATCATCACGGTCTCATCCTGAAGACCTGCAACGTTTACCTCAAAGTGCCAAGAGCTTAATTAGTAAAGTGATATCCCCGACCACACACACAATTACAAAATAAATCCAAATGAATATAAAAACTAGCAATGGACATTATATTGAATACAGTGAGAAGCAATTCGGATACTATATTGAGGTTAACATTTAGGAGAGGAACCAGTTCCAGTTTCAAGATAATCATTTATGCATTTTTAGAGATTCCGAGGCATCTTCAGTGGATTTTATGTTGTTTTTCTTTTATATCTTTAACGTTTCAATAAAAAACAATGGGGGGATCTGAATTTTAAGACTTTGTTCAGGTTTTACTTAACTAAAGATATAGCATATTTCGAATAAATTTCCCATGCATATGCATTGCTATAAAGGTAGATATGTCGGGGAGAGCCCCCTCCCTCTGAAATTTTTACAGTTAAGAGGTTCTTCCGGTGTGTAATATCCATGAACCTATTTCCCAGGACTCATTAACATGTCAAGTCATATATCTAATAAAAATAGACCACCCCATCCCCTGAAATAGGTTTTAAAGTTTGAGGTAATTTTATATATGGATGAGTATTGCCAGAAATTTCGTATCACGATTTATCACGATTTTTTTCCAAATTGAAAATATCAATAATATCATGATATTTTTATAATCAATTTTTACAATGATTTTAGATGACATTATTTTTCTTAAAAAATATGCTAGAAAAACAAAATTTTACTTTTTTGAAATGTTTATCTACATAAATTTGGTCATGTTTGGATGGTAAGGTGCCGTTCTTTTCACCTTTTACAATTTTTTTAAGGCTTTCCTTAATTCTTATTTGAAAAATTGAATAAATAAATGAATAATTTCTGTATGTACCTAAATACCGGTATTTAGGTCTCCGCATCACAATACGTTTTCCCCCCCCCCACACACACACACCCCCACCCCCACCCCCACCCCCCCAAAAAAAAAAAACTGGGATATACCGGTATATCGAAAAAATCGCATATCCCTTGTAATAAATTTATTTCAATTATTCATTTTAAATTCTTATTACTTGTTTGTTTATTAATTTTTGCTTGTCAAAAAATTATGAGACTTAACATCTGTGAGATTTGATCCCCAACCCCCTGAAAAAAAATCTTGGATAGCTGTGCTTACATTATTCCCTATTACTTCTTAATAATAAATTAAAACAATACTAATTGAAACCTACTGTAGCTACATATTTTTGTCCCTGCACAAAACCGTACAAAGGAATTGGAAAGGTTTTATTTTTCTATTATTTCTGTTGCCATGGGAACGGGAATCCATAGCAACTACTGAAATAATCACCGATTTCAGTTTGCAGATGCATTTCTGCATGACTGTCAAAAAAAATTTCAAGATCATATATCTGGCAAAGCTATTTTAATGCATAAATAGAATGTCTATTCAAAAGGAGATTTATTGGCATTTTTTAACAAATATAGGGTTTTTACATAATTGAAAAAAATTATGTTTGGACAAATATTTTTTTCTAGAGTTTTGATATATCAAAAGGCACATTATAAATAACAAAATTCTAGTGGAATAATTTCTGTTGCAATTTGTTTGAGGTTTGGGTGTTTTTGAGCTAGATTGACTGCTCAGCTATGTTAAGGAAGGTCAGAGGTCACATTCCTTGCACACTGTATTGGAACTTTGATTGTGACGTCATTGAAATTTGACAAGCCATAAGAATTAATTAACGACATGATCATGCGTAAATAGCAATTTGAATTTATTTATTTTATCAATTATTTGTAAAATCTTATAAAATTACAATATTTGATAGCAATACAGTCAAGTAATAGAAGAAAGCCCTTCGTCAAATATGACGTCATCAGTCGTGACATGACGCAGCACAGGTGATCCAGAGGCCTAGATTCACTGGTTAAATAATTACAAGAATGCTTGAATAAATATGATACCATTGATAATTTTTAGACCTAATCATTAAAACTAAAAGAAAATAATTTATGAAATATAATTTGTATAGAATGTGAATTTATCTAGTAGCATTGGAGCTGCCCGGGGGCAAGGAATGTAGAGAATATCGCTACAACGATATAAAGCATATTCGTGATTTACATCAAAAGTGCAAGGGCATAGACTATTTTGTTTTAGCTGAAATTTGGAATATTTATTGCTTATATTGTGTTTATTTTTAAAAGTGCTGGGAGCTGATCCAGGTCTGCATAACATTATTTTTATTTATAACAGAACTTAAGCGAAGTGGAAATTTTTAGCTATTATAAGCATTTACGATAAAATTTTCAGTACTTCGTAAACAGCACAGACTAGCTCCCAGCACTTTTTGGGTAGAGAAAACTAACATCTTTTAATGTGTATCATTTTTTTTCATGAAAAACAAGCGTATGCCCTTGCACTATCCTCATTTCCTACATTCAAATTAACAGTTCTATTTTTATACAAGTCACGTGACAAACAGCTGATACATGTGATATAACTGGTAATAACTACGGCCCGGTCCTATCCATTATTGATAGCTATATTACATTTTATACAAATTTTCAGTTGCTTTGTAACATTTTTTAAAAGAAGTAATACATATTAAAACGGCGCAAAGGTCACATTTTCCATACCGGTCCTTAACATAGCTGAGTGGAGTATTAATTAAATTTGAATTTAAGAAAAGTTTAATCTTTGCTATATTGTCATACACCAGTGTTTCACAAACACATCTTGTTTTCTGATAAATAAGGATTGTATGTGATTTGTGAAAATTAACACCAGACACAGGAGATGACTTTGTTTTGACTTGTGCTCTTGACCTTTCTATATTAGGTACTGTCTTATCTCTGAGAAACGACGAAAAAAGATGTACCAGGAAACCTGTTTTGTCCTAGTGTCCTGGTAGACTGATACGCACAGGATTTCTGTGAAAATGAACATGCATGTATAAAAAGACAGAACCGCCCTTAGTTCGTAGCTTAATTAACACTAATAGTCCTACTTTCTCGTTTAAACTTTCGATTGTAGCTGTTTCCAAAGAATAGCAATCAGATAGGTATAATAAAACATGTATGTATTTGAAAATAAACTATAGAATCAACGTACAAAAGAAAGCGACATTGTCAAAGTAAAATAAAATGAAATAAAACCTAAGAATAAAACAAGAATTTAAAATTAAAATTAGAAAGTAGAAGCAAGCTTGCTGCAGATCAACGAGTAGATTTTCCCTTGTAGCTACGGAGAGGAAGAATGCCATTAAGTCAAAGTCATATCACATTCTTGAGAAGTAAGCACTCTTGAAGGGGGATCAATTTCTAATGGCTTCCCAGTAGAAAGACATCGGCAAGTGGTTACATCTCCATATAATTAAAAAATCTCAAAAGGGGCGTGCAACAACAGGCAAACAAACAAACCAACAATATCTGCATGAATCTATGCAAAATGTGGAGTTCTTATATAAAGTATACATTAATGTTAGATTAAATATCAAGACATGTCTCACAAAATGTGTTCTCCAGATCTGATCCATTATTTAATAAACAATACACATGTAAGAAAGCGTACGGGTTATCAATTACACTTTGAAATGGAAAATATGTGTCTTTGGTTGTCGGTTCCTTCGTATAAAGTAAGTATACTGAAAGGATCAAAATTTTAAAAAAAATACTTTGATGAGTAATCAAAACCATGTAAATAACTTTAATCCAAGCAAGAAACACCGGACCTGTAGAATAAGTCTCTCGTGAATTATTGTATTTTCCAATTGGTTAATTATTTTCTATAAAGAAAATGTATTTAATAGAATTTCAGATAAAACATTATTAAATGAGAGTCACTGCATAACTTGATAAATAATCGTGTATATTTGTTTTTTCTTGTAGCTCAAATAAATATTTTACCTTCCTAGCTTTGTGCAACAATGAGCGCCTCATCATACCCTACCACTGAGGAAACAACAAATGTCAATAGAAGAAACCGACTTTTACTAGGCCCCTGTACGGATCAGTTACGAGATGTCCTACGTCAGGAAGTTCCACCAAATACATTCTCTTTTATTTTTAAGCAGAAAGAAAAAAATATTTCACATCTGAATGCTGCACAGAAAGCGCTTCTTTACCCAGTTAGTGGTTCATACACCGGAAAATACAACGATATGGACATTTCGCTATTATACATTCTTCTTAGGAATATAACCAATATTCCTCAACACAAAAAGAAATGGGGTAATGAGCCAGATATAAGTGACAGGTCTCTCTCTGCTAATGTAGAGAGAATACGTATAGAAAGAAACAGTTGTGTTCATTCGCCTGATGCATCAACTCCAAATATAAAATTCAATGATTTCTGGTCCAAAATAGAGAATGTTGTTGCAGAGCTAGATTCGTATCTAGGAAATGGAGGAAAATGTAGAAAAGAGACAGATTACTTACGAAGTGTAGAGATGGATCCCGCCCTCGATTTAAAAAATAGACAAGAAATCAAGAGACAGGCCGAAGAAGAAAAAGATATTAAAGAAAAAGTAGAACAACTTGAAAGTAAGTTTGCCAATGTAAATACTAAGTGAAATTAGACCGAGAATTTAATTCGATTGTACTTACTGTAAGCACGGTGTTCTTTAATTTTGATAGATCGGCACATTTCATTGAATTAGATAAGCAGCTTGAAATTATACTAAAACTGTGATAAAACCATTCCTTTAAAACGGGGACTGAAGAAAAGAACATCGAATGAGAATAATAAACTTGATATTAAGATAAACAAAATAGGTGAGATCATTCATTGATCCTATTTTATATAGATGTACATTCTTTCGACGTCCAGGTACATTTAGAGCCGCATGGCCTTGATATAATAAAATGTATATAAAATTCTGGGTTGATAAAACCAAGGATGATTTCCTGGAGGACGACCACAAAGTAATAAATCGGATATAAATCCACTTTCTTATATTTGAAGCATTAGAAAAAAATCATTCGGATCTGCTTTTATTTACTCTTACAAGTATGTTAATGGTGAAGTTGGGATCAGCAAAAATTTTAAATGTCCTTCAAAATGTATAGAAAATGAAGAAAGTTAGGCGTGTGGATGACACTACCCGTGAGATAAACCTATGCTTTATCCACGAGTACTTGTAGGTGCTTTATCAATAGCACTTCCGGTTTTGACAAGACCCTTTCGCGTCGCTTCAAAATCAAAATTTATCATGCTTTGATTTGTAAGAAATGTTGCATTATAAAATAAATGATAATGTGCAAGAATTTTGTTAAATCTAGAAAAAGACTCGCATACTTCAAAAACAGTGTCAAGTTTTTACAATGTATTTGTATTAGTTACTACAGATGGATATTACCCCTCCCCGAAGGTATTTTAAGAGAAACGAAGGGCCTATCAGTTAAGTGTTAGTGCAAAATTCCTTTGAAAATTAAAAAAATGCTTAAGTTTCTTATATAATGTTAATATGTACACCTTATAGTAATGTATGTGTAACATACCATGGATCAGGATCTACAATGTGCGTTAGCCTATCATTGTTTTCACTTCCACCGTTGAAAAAATGACACCAGTATAAAATTCATGTTCCCTCGGTCCTTACATGTTCCTTCGGTCCTTACAACTTTCAGTCATGAAAATAAGCCTCCAACTAATTGTCACACATGTTTTAAAAGACGCAGATAGCAAAGATCCTATATTTTTCATATGATATTCTTCTTTCGTCGTGTCAATATCAACAGTGTAACATCATCAATTTATGTGTCATTAGTTTGAAAATCAGCGCCGTGGTCTATAGCTATACAGCTGTACTTAAAAAATCTAATTATAAAGTTACTATGGTAGGAATTAAGCCATTCAAGTTTAAATTTTTATGAAAAAAAATAAAAATGGAAACCAATATCAGTCACATAAAATAAAGAAATAAAATTATTTGGATGACAGATTATTAAACCACAAACATGAATTTTACAGTAAAATGATGTTACAATACCGCCCCCCCCCAAATATTGGACAAATCGTCCCCTGATTTGGTCAAAGCGCTCCTTTACATTTTTTCTTAGGAAAAATCGTCTGGGAATCGTCCCCAAGCAATGGTCAAAACGTCCCCGATTTTGGTCAAAGCGCCCCCTAATAAAACCGTCCCGGTTAAAAGGTTAAAGTAATAAAATTTAAATTAGTTTAATATTTAATTAATTTATTAAATAATTAATAATTATTTGGAAAATGATCATATATTAATTAAGTACGTAGTTTTTTTTTCTTTTTTTTCTCTTCCAAACAGATAACTATTTTTGCGTTCATAGATAATCCGTTTATAAATAATTATTAATACATGTATATTTTATAATCTTTCGTAAGATTCAAGACTAACAAACTACTAGGGAGGGGGGGTCATTCTCTTTGCGCCACTCATTGACTTTGTATACATTAATCACATGACTTATAGAGCTGAACAAATCCCAGAAGGTATGGAGCATCTCAGTTTTGATGGGTAACCATGGTTACATATAGTTTATTCTATGCATCCTCAAGAAACAAAATGAAATTTAGGAAAAAGACCAACGATCACACAAAAACGGAACACGTGGAAAAATCAAAGTACTCAGAAGTACAGAGAGCCGGGCTCATTTACACACTGTTACAGAGTAGAATGAATTTCTTACATAAATCATATGTTTATATTGTATTAACACAGAAATAACAAAAATATCATATTAAAATCCTGATGAAACTATCAATATAAATGATAAGACAATGACAGTGAGTTTTCGATCCTATTACGTCGGTCCGATTTTGTCAGAATCCGAATTAATCTGGTGCTGCAGCTGAATGTAAACAAACAGGCCAATCTGGTTTCCTCTCCTGCTTTTCCTCGGATGTGTAGAGAACTACGATAAAACTCATCATCGAAAATCCTTCCGCAAATGAACTATGTTCTTTTACCTAAGACTGAAGTTTTCTACTAATGATTATTTATTTAGGAAAAACTTTTATCTTTGATGCTTTATCTAGAGTTTGCATTATCTCAAAAGCAGTTGAGTGTAAGAACTATATTTTTACACGTAACTTTTATATGGCGACTATGGGGTTGACTTCCTGTCTTCAACAGGATGACATAAGCCAGCAATTGCTCTTTGAGCAATAAGCCCGGCTAAAAATCCATACCTCTAATCTCTGTTGAGATTCTGCTGGGCTAGATATTTGAACTGACGCCCACAGAACGAAGATTTTAGTTAATATTTTTATGCTTGGATTTACCTGCCTAAACGGTAAGCAATGTAGAAATATTATATAGTGACAGCAAGTCAAATAAACAACCAAATGACTTAATCGATGCGAACGGCAGTGTGGCCTACGTGAATAATACTTGCTATAGTCGGCCGAAATCGGGGCCTAATATCCAGACGTGAATTGTGAATGGTTGTCCAGAGTCATTCTGCGGGCGTCAGTCCAAATATCTAGCCCAGCAGAGTCTCAACAGAGATTACTAGCCCTCATGCGTGTTGCAGCTTTTTTGAAAGGGGCACTAAAAATAATTGACACTTTTATCTGAAAATCTGAAAGGGTGTGGTATATGGGTCTTACTTTTTCTCAAGACAATTCGATCCATAGCTAAATGGTTTTTGATACTGAATAACAGTAAAACATTTTCGAGAGAAAGCGAGAAGGGAGAAACCCCCCTCCGATAATGCGTGCCCGGTCATAACGCTTCTTTATAAATCTAAAAAAAATAAACTTTTGGGTTCTATTCCATCGGCATTTTGCCCCCCCCCCCCCCCCATCCACACACACACCAACCACAAACACCACCACGAAATAGGATTTTTTCTTGCTTGTCGAATGTCGAAGAATTTTTGGTTTGGAATATTTTGACTGGGGTGTACTTTGCCCCCCCCCCCTTGGAAAAAAAATCCCCGAGATCAGAGCCTGCCCTCTGTATACACTAGCAAAAATTTGAGTGTTAGATCCCCGATCTTTCCTGTATAAAAGTTAAATCTTATTTGTAAACAGCTTAAGAGACTGTTAGAAGGCATGCTATGCATGCACGGTTGGTTAAGGATCTATTTTAGCTTTGGGGCGAAATCACTTGCCACCCTTATAGCGCCCTCTTTCGTCTTAAAATGCAGACTTGGATAATGTACAAATCACGAAAGTCATTGCACAAGTTGACGAATCGCAGGTCTACGAATTACACGTATTCATTGACATAACTTGCATTTACATTTTTACACTTATCAAGTTATGTTGGGTAATTTACAATTAACAAATTTTGAAAGAACAATTGAGAATTTATGGAATTAAGATTTACAAATTAAAAATTGATGTTTACAAGTGTACTTTTTAAGAAATACAGAGTTGGAATTTTGAACCCGTTGGCCTAATATACTTTTATACATGTATCATTGCTGGAGGAATGAAACTAAAATACACGAATTATTTTGTATCTAAAATATACAAGCTTTTTTTCAGATTCAGTGACCAGACAGATTCAGAAATTGGAGACTCGCATCGGTTTGTAAAAAATGTTAAAATAAAGTTTGTTTTTTTTTCAATTAAATTTGTCTACACACTTGAGTAATGCTTAAAATAGTAAAGATATGAGCGGACATTAACAGAATTTTAACAAGAGACGGTTACAGATATTATCCAAACACTTACCAAGTGTCTTTTAATTCCATTTACTTCATTTATGATACAATAAATTTATACGTCTTCGAAATATGCAGGGGGTATAATAATGAGCACATATCAAAGTTGGCATCAGCTTATCAGTTTTCAATCATGTGCATGAATATAATTTTAAAAATATCTATACGGTTATATCAAGTATGTTTGTCAGTTCAATCATTGCACACGCGCAATGTGCTTGCATGTGAATGATGATCATGTCTTCTTGTCTACACTTGTCAATATATATATATATATATATATATATATACTCTTCAAAAAAAGAAACGCATAGTACAATTTTAGTGACGCATTGGACATAAAGATAATTTAGTAAAATGATGCATTGATAAAACAGAAATGCGGTAAGCAACAGGAATACTATCTAAATGTCATAATTACTCAACAATTTTAAAATTAAAGTCAGTTTAAGACCATTAAAGATCAATATCTGGTATGCCCCCCGCAGACACAAATGATAGCCACAAACGGCATCTAATGGAAGCAAATGTGTGTAACAAAAACTGTATAGGAATACTCTCCCACTCCAAATGTAGAAATTTAGTCAGCTGTTGCAGAGTCTGGGGATGCGATTGTCTTTGGCAAATCATGTCAATCCATTTTGTCCAATGCTGCTTAATTTGGATTAAATCTAGCGATTTAGATGACTGTGACTGAAACAGGTTGCTGTTTCTTTGCAAGAATAGGTGTGTCACACGAGCCATATGTGGCTGTGTATTGTGAGATTGCAATACGGCTCTAGGATGCTGCAAAATTGAATGGGTATGTGTAGGTAGAACATGGTTAGAGTACCTTTTTCCATCAAAGTCCATTGAATTCGAACCAAATCAATCTTACTTTCTTATAATACCATTTTCTATATCATTACACTACCACCACCAACTTTTTTAACGTCCTGGAGGCAGTTATCTGTCTAACATTCATTACAAAGCATTAGCACTCTTAAACTTATGAGAGGCTTTCAGATAAACTTCTGGACTTGTAGGTTAACCAAAATGTTCAGCAGTGATGCTGTGATCATACGCTATTGATCTGAGATCTTTGAAGTCGATATTTGGGGTGTTGTGGGGTCGGAACAATGACATGAATAATCCTCTTGCAATAATTCGTAGTCATCTGAAAACGGTTTTGTTAGATGACCTGTGCAGTTCAGGGATAGCTAATGCTTTAGATGACGTCCTTGCATTACATTTATGCAACTAACGTAATCCTCGGAAGTGATGCTGTGCTGCTGATGTCACTCGTAGTCTACCATATTTTTTGCTAACATTGGGTGTTCGATGTTAATGGTTTATGTTTTATAGGTTAGATATAGTCTGTGTGTAACATTAAAACCTCTTGCAATTGTAGATTGCAGTACCCTTGCTTCCAGTCGCCCATTTTCCTTTTTTGTGCCACGCAATATTCAGATGCAGCAATTTTAGGAAGCGTCATTTTTCAGATAAAACCAGATTCAAAATGTCGAGAACCCCCGCTTTTGATAGCCCCTTTGTACCTGAAAGAATTGCATCGGAAAATAACAGATGAAAATTGAGATAAAAATTTTGGGGGAAATTTGCAAAATCAGGTCTTTTTGTCTGTGAGACTTGAAGAATAGCTGTAAAATTAACAATTGCATTAAAAAATCATGCATTTCACTCGAATATATCGTATCCATACAAAAATAAAAGGTATGACAAATCTATCATACATTTTTCAGGGCATTGTTCCTACTATGCGTTTCTTTTTTTGAAGAGTATATATATATATATATATATATATATATATATATATATATATATATATATATATATATATATATATATATATATATATAGCCCATTTAGGACCTATCAAAAAATATTTTTGAATTCGTTATAACGATTTCTAGAATTTGTTATAACGAATTTAATTTGTTATAACAGATTCATTGAATTCGTTATAACGAATTTAATTTGTTATCACAGATTCATTGAATTCGTTATAACGAATTTAATTTGTTATTACAGATTCATTTAATTCGTTATAACGAATTAATTTGTTATAACAGATTTCTAGAATTCGTTAGAACGAATTTAATTTGTTATTACAGATTCATTGAATTCGTTATAACGAATTTAATTTGTTATTACAGATTCATTTAATTCGTTATAACGAATTAATTTGTTATAACAGATTTCTAGAATTCGTTAGAACGAATTTAATTTGTTAGAACAGATTAATTGAATTCGTTATAACGAATTTAATTTGTTAAAACAGATTTATTGAATTCGTTATAACGAATTTAATCTGTTATAACAGATTTGTTGAATTCGTTATAACCAATTCAAGAATTTGGTTATAACGAATTCAACAAATCTGTAATAACAGATTAAATTCGTTATAACGAATTCAACAAATCTGTTATAACAGATTAAATTCGTTACAACAAATTTAAAAAATCTGTAATAACAAATTAAATTCGTTATAACGAATTCATTGAATCTTTTATAACAAATTAAATTCGTTATAACGAATTCAATAAATCTGTTATAACAAATTAAATTCGTAATAACGAATTCTAAAAATCGTTATAACGAATTCAAAAATATTTTTTTGATAGGTCCTAAATGGGCTTCCGTATATATATATATATATATATATATATATATATATATATATATATATATATATATATATATATATATATATATATATATATATATATATATATATATAAAGTTATGAAATTGCTTATAACAATAAAAAGAGTTGACTAGATGAGTATTTTGATTCATTCAAGAATATGGATAAAAGGGACCATTCTGGAAATATGACGTCATTACATTTCTTAGGTTTATGCAGAAAAGCCTCAAAATAAAATTTTCCTGCTTAGTTTCCTTTTTAAAAAAAATAGTGTCTTCAGCTCTCGCGCACTCCAATTTTTAGATATATTGTAAAATTTGCTTTGAAAATTTACATATCCCTAAAATTTGTGGTCGACGTATGCACTATGTTTTCTGAAAGCAAAAAATAATTGAAAATGAAGTCTTTTGCTACTTTAAAAAAAAACGGTAAAATGCAGAGGTTCATGACGTCACAATTAGCATTCAGAGGGTCAAATTGAAAAAAAAAAAACCATTTGAATGTTTTTGTTGCGTTTAATTTCAATATTTCAGAAGGATGAATTTTAATTTCTTACTTCAATTTTAAATTTTAGAAAAATACAGGGCCAGATTTATATTGAAACTGTGCCTTTTTCTTTATCATTATCACCTGAATATCAAAGTGTATTCCATTGTCGAGAACGATTTGTTTTACTTGTGCATTTTTCAGATCGTCTTTTTTATCATACACTTTTACCCCCTAATTCTATATAAGACTACAAATTTAAGAATTTGGCACATTCTTCAGAAACTGATTGTTTTCTTAATGCAGCACTTATCATTTTTTTTATTAACAAAGTTTTTAGCATAATTTACAATTCTGATACATTTATAGAAATAAAATTTACCAATCATATATGTGAGGATAATTTTTTAAAAATATTTCTTTAACTAAAAGGTGGAACATGAAGGAATAATTGAATATCCTATTTTTAGATACTCCAGAGAACAAAAAAATGGAAAGACGTATTGGTAAGTACCGGATATAATAATATTTTATTCTATTGTAGAAAACGGTTTGATCCTCAGTGATGTTATTCCTAAAGTCATGTTATGCCACAAAAACTACTTTGTATTTGGTAATCAAAAAATGATACCGTGCTTTGTGTTTAATGTGAATCGACCCTCCTCCCCCCAAATATATAGATAATTAAATAAATATCAAAACTCTAAAAATATTTTTACGCTATTTTGGTATTTTACAACAATTATAAGCTTTTTTTTAATTTCGAGAAAATTGCAATACGATTCTTAATACGTTAAGCAAATATTTCGTAAAACTGAATCTTTATAAAAGGCATTAGCTGTAATTCAAACAAAAGTAAGAGGCCCAGGGTCTCATAGGTCACATGAGTATTATTCAACAACTTTTATTCAATATTTTCCCATTCTTATGCTGATTTAGCAAATTTCTTGATTTTGGCAAAAAAATCAAGTTGATATTATTCATTTCACCATTTTAATAAATTAGTTTTATTGCTTTGATCAAGAAAGAAATCAAGCAAAATGCTGATTCAGCAAAAATAGGAAACATTTATCTTTATCTGCATCTTTTGAAGATATATTAGAGAATATAGTTTCTTTTTTATTACTTTGTCAGAGACTTCAAGAGCGAATCTTGATTATGACAATAAAAAGAAAAAAATTACATTTTTTACCTTTTGTATAAATACTTCAAAATAAGGTTTAATATCAGATTTCCATAGGTACAATGACTCGACCTATTTTTCCTTCCACATACATGGCTTATCGTGCAAGAAAGAACTGTGTGTGAAAAATCACTAAATTTTGAGAATTCCATGCATCACCCATGTATCACCTCCTGCCTTAAGTTTTTTTAAAGAATCACTGTCTAGTTTTGAGAGTATGCCAGGGCATCAACAATAGTGGGAAACATGGGATAATTTGCATAACGGGCAAAGCCAGTTATGCTAAAATTATCCCAGGTTTCCCACTATTGTTGATGTCCCTGGCATACTCTCAAAACTAGACAGTGATTCCTTATATTTCCATTTCATTATGATATAAAATTGTAGACTTAGACATTAAAAATGTAGACTAATAGATTTAAATTACACTAGGACTTCCATGCCAATTTCAATAGTCCTTGCAAACTTACGTCAAACGCAAAGGCAACCGCACGAGATTTACATGCATATTTGGCCTCCTTAGCGTCAGACACAGAGACAAATGCGCACGAGATTTGCATGCGTATTAGGTCTCCTTAGCTGCTGACCTATCGACCTGCCTAATTTACATTCCGGCAGAATTAGCAAGGAAAATTTCCCCCAACTTTCAAACAGTTATCACAGAGAAAAGAAATTAGTAGTTGAAATATATTTGAACATTTTTATCATTAAATATATATTCAAATTTACGCAAAATAATTTAGAATAGATATTTTAAAACAAACATTCAAAGATCTGTAAGACAATATAATTAGCATTGAATAATTACTTAAAAACAAGGCTTATGATGCTTGGAGTTGCTTCACATTTCGCCATAACTTTTTGGCTGTTAAAATATTGTTAATTTTGTAGTGGAATTGTAATGTGTGTGTGTGTGTGTGTGTGTGTGTGTGTGTGTGTGTGTGTGTGTGTGTGTGTGTGTGTGTGTCGGACTGTTTTGGGGGCAAATATAAAATCATAAATAATTGTCTTATTTAAATACTTGTAAAAAACTGAAATACACTTAGCAGTTCGATGTTAGAATTTGTTTTGATAGGGTTCCAAACACAAAGATATATGTCTGATGTATTTGCTTTTTTATAATCATGCAGAGAATTACTGTATACAGGGTTATTTTCGTCCCATATAATTTTCGTTCTTTTACAATTGTTAAAAATTTTGCCCGGTTTAGAATTCACCAATTCACAAATAAACAGTTCTGTTTAAGATATTGTACAGTGTTCTTTGGTTTCGCCCCATTTTAATTTCGCTCAAATGTGATATATCGCAAAAATGAAATGGGGCGAAAATATCCATGTATACAGCTTCAGATTCATATTTTCTTTTCATTTTTTTTAATAAAATCTTTTTTAATCTCATTTTCATTTGTTTCATCTGATACAGGTATATTTTTTTCTTGTGTTTGATAGCAATAACTGAAAGCAGTATGAAGCAGTGGAAAAAGGAGGACGTTTCATTTGTAGAATCGCATGCCTTTCCAGATATCAGGAACAAAGTAGACAAGCAACCAATTGTGGTATTTCTTGGTGGGCCTAAATGTGGAAAAAAATTCTTAATGCATCATATAGCATTGAAACTTCATTTGCAGAATGGTTTTCAAGTTGTTGAGTTAGAAAATATTGATGAGCTGGAATCATTTTTTATCAAAGATATCCAGCAGTTATTCATTTTAGATAATGCTACTGGAGTATGGTGTCTAGATGATAAAATAGCAAAAGAAATCCATTACAAAGAAAACAAAATACAAGCTATCCTCGCTGTTCGGAATTCAAAGTTATTTCTTACCTGTCAGAGAACGGCTTACAATGAATCAAAACATTTAATGAAATATTTTTTCTTTGATGAAAGTTACGTAATAGATTTAGAATCAAGGGCGTTTGCTTTAAATCTGCAGGACAGGAAGTCCATTTTTGAAAAATATTGTATAATGAATAATTTGACTTATTCATCTGAGATGATAAGTGATAGGTTTGAATTCGAAGCTGTATCAATGTTTCCATTTCTTTGTAAATTATTCTGTTCTTGTGAAAAGATTAGGGATTTTGGGACTGATTTCTTCATTTATTATATTGAAACTATGGAGAAAATATTTGATGTTATAATAACAGAAAGCAAAATTCATTATGCAGCTTTAGTAACTCTAGCTCTCAGAGACCGTGCCTTCTCTGAGGAGAGTTTTGAGGATAGCACATTTTCGGAAATTATCACAAATGTTTGCAAAACATGTAATGTGTGTACCCCTCCGACTGCATGGTGCTATATGGAATCTCTTGCATCATATAATAAAATGCTTTTAAAGAAATCTGAAGAAGACTATCAGTTTATTGACATATCAATCCAAGATATCTTACTTTGTCATTATGGAAGGAAGTTCATAACAATTATCATCAAACATGCATCCTGTAAATTTCTCTCCAAATATATCACAATTCATGAGTCAGACGTGGATACGAAAAAAATGCGGATTTTGTTATATAAATCAAAATTCCAGGCGCTTGCAGAGCGATTTTTGAGGGATATAATGGACAACAATTTGTACGATGTCTTCAATAGCACAGTACTTCAGAGCAATGTTTTCGTTGATTCTTTCATAAATAACCTGAAAATGAAAAAATACGAGGAGATAAAGTGGTTGTTTTTGAGATGTCCTGATGTGAGAGAAATGACCCCGGAATGGCTTTATCCGGATTTTAAAACAATAAGTTGGGCTATTGCTTTTGGTCATAGAAGAATTGTAGAATTTGTTCTCAGTTCTGCTTACGAAAATGGCGATTCATATGAAAACGTGCTCGGGGAAAAAAAAGTTGAAAATATTCGAATGGTAAAACTTGCTTGTTTCAATGGAGATGTTGACATGTACAATTCCATCATACGTTTTTTTCCACAGCTGGAGTATTTCAAAGACAATACAAGTTTTAAACCTTTGATTATGGATACATTGACATTGAGTAAGAAAAAGGAACAATTCATTGAAATCATTGGCACCAAGATGTCACCCAAATTGAAAGAAAAGAGTTCTTACGCATCTGGCTTCACACTCATGACAGCGGCTTGTTTATGCAGGAGTCTGCCATTGGTGAAAGAGATTTTAAATGATATAGAAGAAAGACGGAACTTATTTTATCTTGACACATGTGTAAATAGTAGAAGCACATTATCTTTAAATTCGATTTATGGAGACAATAGAACGCCTTTAGAGGCAGCAATTTTGTCCCGTGACACATCATTCGTAAAAGAATTGATTGAAATTGGAGCTGATGTAAATTTTAGGTCACCATTATTTTATGCCATGAAATTGAATGCTTTGGAAATAGAAAACGTTCTTCTGGAAAATGGTGCAGGAATTAGTGAAGTTTTAGAAAAAGGATCACTGGAAGGAAACGAAAATGTTGTGTTCAAACTAATTAATGGAAGGTGTAAAGAAATTTTAGAAGAAAGAGGAATATTTCAAAGCAGTCTTGATTTAGCTTTGTACAAAGCTTGTCAAGGTGAACATTGTTCAATTATAGAGACCCTAATAGAACACGGCGCCAGAATAAATGCATCTTTTAAAGACGGCTGGACACCACTCCACATTGCTATAGGGAGGAACAATGCTATTTTAGCGGAATGTCTCATCAACAAGGGTTCAGACTGCAAGGCCAAGGAATGTCTATTAGAAAGAACGCCTTTACACCTTGCTTCCCAGAAACACCTTTTACCGACAGTGAATCTATTGTTAAAGAAAGGTACAAACTGCAATGAGCGTGACGTTGAAAAATGCACCCCACTTCACCTTGCTATTGATCCTCATGACAATATCAAGATTGACGTTATAGAAGAAACTGAGGATTTGCTCTTACTGATACAAACACTTATTGATAATAATGCCAATATAGACATATGTGACGAAAATCAGACCTCCCCGCTGCTAAGTGCATGTAAAAATCAAATGTGGCTTGTTGCAGAACGACTGATTACAAATGGTCCGATGTAAACATGTGCAGTACTTATGGAGATGATGATAGTGACCTATATTTTTCTTTTAATCAAAGATCAGAAGGAAGGAAAAATTTACAAGCATCGCCACTTCTTCTGGCATCAGGTAGTGGCGTTTTGTCAGTTGTTGAGAAACTTATAATGAAAGGAGCCAATGTCAACATATGTAACAGTTCTGGCGAAAGTCCAATTTATGTAGCATCTAAGAATGGATATTTAGAAGTTGTGGAAAAATTGATCGAACATGGCTCCTCTTGCAATGAACATGGAAACACGCCACTGAAAGCTGCCTTGCAAAATGGGCATAGTGATATAGCGTTGAAATTAATTTCAAGCGGTGCAGATATTTCCTATGAATCGCTACTTATCCTGGCATCGGAGCGTGGGTATTTGTCAGTTGTTGCTAAACTTATTGAAAAAGGGGCCAATGTCAACGAATGTGACATTTCTGGTATAATGCCGATCCATGCAGCTTCGAAAAATGGTTTCTTAGAAGTGGTTGAAACTTTGATAGAAAATGGATCCTCCTGTAATGAACTTGATGAATTTGGGGATTCGCCTCTGATTTATGCCTTAAGAAATGGTTATGAGAATATAGCACTCAAATTGATTTTATATGGAGCAGATATATACATTTCCAAGGAAAACTACATATCCTCAATAAAGTATGCTCTTCAAAGACGACTTTGGAATGTTTTTGAAAAGTTAACTACATTTAAGGTAGAAAGAGGTACATACCAGGAATCCCTTCAAACTGCACTGATATATGCAATGGAAAATAAAAACAATGAGATGGTTCAAACATTTCTACCAGAACTTGTTGAAAAACTTATTAATAGCGGTTTTAATGTAAACTACTCCGATGTTAATGGCAATTCTCCTCTTTATTATGCAGTTTACTTTGAATTTCAGGAAGTTGTCGAAATACTCTTAAGCCATGGCGCTAGCTGCAATCAATGTAATGGAGATGGCATATCGCCTTTATTTGTTGCTATTAGAAAGAAGAACTCAAAACTTTGTATCTACCTGATCAGGCAAGGTTCAAATATCAATTTATGTGATAAAAATGAAAATTCGCCACTGCTTTATGCATCTGAATATGGTCTTAAAAATGTCGTAGATAAGCTAATTGATTCTGGCGCAGATGTCAATAAGTCCAATGTATCCGGAGAAACGTCTCTCAGCTGTGCGTCAAAAAACGGATTTTGCGATATCGCAGAGAGTCTTGTGAAGAATGGTGCAGATATTTCCTCAAAGAATAAGAAAGGAGATTCACCAATTTTTCAAGCCTGTAAAAACGGACAGGTAGAAATAATGGGAGTATTAATTCGTAATGGTGCTAATGTAAATATTCCTTCGACCAGAATGACACATCTTTTGCACAATGCTCTTAATAAAGGCAATTTATTGATTGTTGAAAAACTTATTGATTATGGTGCAGACTGCAATGTATGTGACGATAAAGGAAAAACGCCTGTTGTAATTGCATCACAAAAGGGCTATTTTCACATCTTCAGAAAAATCATTGACAGTGATGTAAATTTTAAGAAATCTAAAGATAACGTCTTCGAACTCTTAAGTGCAGCAACAGAAAATGGTCACTTGTCTATAGTCCACTTTCTTATCTTACACGGCTTTGATTTTACCAATTATAAACTACAAATTGGAAATTTATTACTGAAAACTATTGGCCGTGGTCATGTCTTTGTGGCCTGTAAACTTATAGACCTTTTAACCAATGTCAACAATGATAATGAAAATGGAGAAACAGCATTACATTTGGCTTCGAAGAAAAATTACTTATGTGTGGTTGAAAAACTTATCCAACATGGCGCTGACTGTAACTCATTAAACAAAAGTAAAAAATCCCCTATAAGTTTAGCTGCAGAAAATGGTTGCATTTCTATAACTAACCTACTCTTGGAAAATGAAGCAGACATCAAAATTGCTGATATACGTGGTAACACGCCATTACATCTTGCTTCAGAAAAGGGACATACCCTGATAGTCAAAAGTTTGCTTAAGCATGGTGCCGATTGCAATGCAACAAATAAAGATGGATTAACTCCACTTTTGCTCATGTCAAATGCAAAACATGGAATTTCTTCTATAGTGGAGTCATTAATTCAGCACGGAGCAAACGTAAATGATTGTGATGCCGATGGAAAATCTCCTTTACATCTAGCAGTAAAAAACGGTTTTGTCTCAGTCGTAGATAAACTTATACAATTGGGTGCAGATGTAAAAAAGTGTGAAAAAAACGGTTTGTCTACATTACATACGTTATTGAGTGAATACTGGTGTGAAAATCAAAAAGAGTATCTTATATTCAAAAAGCTAATAGCAAATGGAGCAGACTGTAATAAATGCAACATATATGGTGAATCTCCCCTAGTCATTGCAACAAAAAAGGAACAAACATCTTATATAAGAATGCTTATTGATCTTGGTGCTGATATCACGATTCGTGATAAAGATGGAAAGTCTCTTTTATTTATTGCCGTTGAAAGAGGAAACACTTCTATTATAAAGATGTTCATTGATCATGGAGCTGATGTCAACTTGTGTGATAAAGATGGCAAGTCCCCTTTATTAATTGCAGTTGAAAGACAAAACATTTCTAGTATAAAGATGCTTACTGACCACGGTGCAGATATCAACATGTGCAATAAGGATGGCAGGTCCCCGTTATCTATTGTAGCTGAAAAACAAAACATTTTTGGTATAAAGATACTCATTGACCACGGTGCAGATATCAACATGTGCAATAAAGATGGCAGGTCCCCGTTATTTATTGTAGCTGAAAAACAAAACATTTTTAGTATAAAGATGCTCATTGACCATGGTGCTAATATCAACTTATGTGATAAAGATGGCAAGTCCCCATTATTTATTGCAGCTAAGGAGTGTGAAAGACAAAACATTTCTAGTATGAAGATACTCATTGACCATGGTGCAGATATCAACATGTGCGATAAAGATGGCAGGTCCCCGTTATTTATTGTAGCTGAAAAACAAAACATTTTTAGTATAAAGATGCTCATTGACCATGGTGCAGACATCAACATGTGCAATAAAGATGGCATGTCTCCATTAATCATAGCGTCGTCTGCAACACCAAATATTCGAGTAAAACAAAAACTTATTGAACACTGTGAAAATTGCAACAAATGTGACATTAATGACAACACTTCACTCATTAATAAAATTAGAACTTCCTATCCCGGTTATTATTTAAAAAATATTTTTAAGGATGATACTGACGTCAGCATATGTAAAAACTACGGGGATTGTCCAGAAAATTTAGCAATTGAAAGAGAAGAAATATCCTGTATTAAAATTCTTTTAGACCATGGAGCTGATGTTAATCAATGTGACGTTCACGGCTGTTCACCTCTTTATACTGCAGCTAAAAAAAATAAAATTCCTTTTGTGAAAATACTCCTAAATAAAGGCGCTGATGTTAATATATTTGATGAATATGGTCATTCTCCACTTGACATTGCAGTTGAGAAAAATAACAAACTCATTGTACAGATGCTTATCAATCAAGTGTTGAATGAAAATCATTTAAACAAACAAAACAGCATTTCCATTCGATCGAAGCAGTTGAGAGTAAGAAAAACATAGTTCCTTTATATCTTATTAATTATTATAATAGTAAAAACCAATTACATTGGTGCCCATCACTTTGATCCCCTATTCAAACCTATTTAAAATATTATATTTAAGACTTCACTGTAATATCATATTTTCATGAAAATTCTGCTTATCTGATTACACTGTATATTGATGGTTTGATATGATCTACCAAATTATCTTAGCTAATTTCAAGTCGGGTAGGCATTAATATGCAGGCAAAGTAATGGTCGAGCATCCGAACAAAAAATGTACATGGTAACCTTTTTCATAGATACGTGTGATAAATTAATTAAGAATACAGTGCTTCATATCAATAAATTGCAAACAGCATTAATTTATATGCTTACAATTTAAATGAACTGTGTTAATAAAACTAGTACTTATATATTTTTTATTGAAATGTAATCGAGTCATATTATAAGTTTAAGAGTTGTCTAGTTGTTTTTTGATAATCGCTTAATATTAATGTATTTGTACAATGTGTCCATGTAATAAAGCTAGGATGATGTTTTGCGTATTAATTTTTTAAAGCTTTCTCGACTTGACGTAAAATGTTGAGGATGAAGTCTCTACGATGGAGGGTCACAAAGTGCAAGGTGTGGATCCTCCTTGAGTCAAGGGGCAGAGAGTCTTGTTAAAATCTTCGCTCTTGCTTATCATGCGTATTAAATCTGTCAACACAATTTCCTTCTTTCCATGAGAACCTCTTAGAATGTCATTCTATCCAAACAATTGAAAGATAATCCCTTTGAAGTTACATTAATGAATTTATTTTACGCCATTAAAGTCAATTTTGTGTAGACCATTTGACAATATCTTTTGGAATATAATGTAAATATGAGAAACTGTGAAAAAATTTAGAACCTTTACATGTCAACAAGGGGAAACAGCTCTGCTTTTGCTTTTTTATTTATAAATAACAGAGGCTGCATGAAACTGAAAAAAATCATCATTACATGTATAATCCTATATACAAACTATAGTGCATTAATGCATTTTCTTTTCTCAAAAAAAAGAAACAATTTAAAAAAACAAAATGAGATTCAGTTCAAAACATTACTTTAGTCTGTATATCGGAGACATTAGGGGCATACACCTTTTGCTTTTGATTTTAATTTTGTTAGATAACAGATGCTGAGTATAAAAGAAACATTTGGCATTGGTAAAATTTAAGGTCTGCGCTGCTATCCTATCACTAATGAAGTCTTACTTTTACTTTTAATGTCGTATATATTGAATGAAAGATTAAATAAGCAAAGTTTATATTAAAATTGACATAGGAGGCTTCACTCTTTGCATGCACTTTGTGACACTCCAATTTGAGACTCCATCCTCGGCATTTTACATCAATTAAACCACCTTTCTCTCTCCTCTTTTTTGCAACTAAAAATGAATTATGCAAAAAAAAAAAAAATGGAGAAGAAGAACGTCCATGGAATTCAATAAGAAATATAACGAAAAGTTTTCAGAATACATGTATTGTGTTTCATTTAAATATAATTGCAAAAAGATTTCAAGAATAAACATTAATTACATTGTTTCTCAGAGACTGTAGACGTTTTGGATGCATATCCCCCGATACACTTTATTTTTCCAACCCTAAGTAAAAACGAAATACTAGAAAGAAATTAAAATCCTAAAGAACTGTAGAAGACAGTGTTATCTTTCAGCCTACTATCATAACCGGGTCAACCTCATTCTGGACTCCAGCCTTAATTGATGCTAAATCCTAACCAGCAAAGGTTTAGGAAGGCAGAGTCCCGCATGACATTGACCCGATCATAGATATTTTTGATATCCACCAGGATCCTATTAAATTCTGCCGTAAAAGGTTAACCAACTTCCTTCTGAATCTGACGTCAAGTTTAAGGACTCTCCACCATTTTTCATAAAATTAATAAAAAGAAATAATGCTCGGTTTTCATAATCTTGTTTATCTCATTCACTGGAACTCGTGAAGAGGTACTGGGAATTAATACTCATTCTAGCTCTTCATCATTATTATTTAATTCATTCTGAACTCTCGCTTGGCTTGTGGAGGTACCGGGATGTTTCAATTCAGCTATTTCTTTTATTATAAATTCCTTCTACATTTGTGGACCAGAGCGGCTGTTATGGTTGGGGAGTGGCGATTTTACCCAACCTGTATGAAATACAACCAAGACAGTCAAGATTCAGCTTTCCACTCTTTATTAAATTATAAAATCTAATTGTAATCATTATGATTGCAATAAATAATTTCACACAATATACTAAATATTATACTAAACATCATTAGTTCTAATACAAAAAAAAATGTTATCTGTAAATAAATTAAGCCATGTGAAAATTTTAATAATTTAACAAAAACCGCGCAAGTTTAGAAAATTATCTCACCTGTATGAAATACAACCAAGACAGTCAAGATTCAGCTTTCCACTGAAATCTTGTCTATCCCGGCCGTTCATTTCATATTAGGTTTACGTTTGTAGATTTTCATCTCCATATTTGTAACTCGTTCGAAATTTGCAATAATTACTTTAATTTTTAATTTGAATTTTAATTACTATTATTCTGAACTTGAATACTTTTTAAACTTTTAATGCACTTTTAAAATAATTTCCGATCTTTTGCATAATCTTCAAATATTATTTGTTGTAGCTAATTTATCCAAATATTTGACCTCTGGTCACTTCAATACTATTGGTTCCTTCTTCCTCCAAACCAAATACATCTTCCGATAAACAAGTAAACAACCGCATTCTATTGAATCGCATGTTCTGGGAATCGATCAGGTCAAAAGGTCACCCCAGTGTGACCAGAATCCAAGTTTATTTTTAGGTCTTCAGAGCTCGCGTTATCTGTCTCCGCCAAAGAGTGCAAAATACACAAAAACGTGTTACAATCTTATTTTAGTGCAATTTTTGTTATGATACTACCTCTAAGTCAATTTTCAAAAATTACATTGGGATTTGATTGATTCGTATTTTTGTAAACATGTACCTGAATACTAGTATTAACAAAACATGACTTATTTGGGAAAACAACGAAGGATAACTCTACAATTCTTATTAAAGGTGCACAGACACGCAGCATTGTTAAGGCTGTAATAAGGAGGCGAGGCCTAATTTATACGGGAAAAGTTTACTGTGACGTCACCATAAAATATTGACTTTTATGTATTCCTCATAATACCAAAAAAAAAAAATGAAATAATTTTCAACTTTAAGGTATACCTTTACTCGGCGGCCTAAATATTCCACTGATGAGAACGAAAAACTACCTATTGCACATTGTAAACCTATAATTCTGGTGTTTTAAAAATTTCCGTTTCAAATTACTAGGTCAATGACCTACTTTTCATGCTCGTGGCTCCTGAGTATTTCACGAGAAAAACCTCAATTTTTCACACTATGACCAACATTTTCTTCACTCACAAAATATTACAAGTAACAAAGCTTTTTAGATAATGAAATATTAAAGCAATTGAAAAGCGTTGCTTCATATACAGAAACGATTAGAATTTTGGCCATAAATTTGATAATTATTACAGTCCGAATTTCCTCTGTCATATTTATATTTTTTTCCCCATTTATAATCGAATATGTAAAAAATCTGACTGATAAGAACTCTAAATTATTTATAGCATCAGGTTACTTTTGTTGTCTTACATGTAATTCTCATGGTATTATCATTATATGGGGTCAATGATCAAATAATTGAGATATGTTGTCTGGAATGGTTTTTGTTCATATTTTTGAATTTCTTTATTTCATAGCATTCAATTATTTACAATAATTCATTAGCTTTAACGCATATAATATTTGTAAAATGATGCTCAAAAACACATGTAACCTTTACATTGTGATTAATATTGCAAGGAATAAATGATTTTGACAAAAATGAAAAATTAAAAAATTTAGTCCGAATTTCCTCTTAATTGCCATACATTGATTTTTGTTCAGGTATATTTTCTTCAAATAATAAAATATCTAATTTTTTTAAATTGGTATTATGTCAAAATTGGGTGATTTTATCCATTTAGGGCAATTTTTAATTTAACATATCATATACTTTACAAAATTTCCTTTCCGTTTTCTGAAACGTGAGTAAACGGCATCCTTAAACTGCGTAAGTATAGGCCTAATAAACATCAATAAAACTTATCAATGCATTTTAAAAAGTTGCTAGTTAGAAACAAATCTCGATGAACTTGTCAACCGTGACGTTATTTTGGTAAAAATGACGTATTTCATGTGCTGTGAGAGGCAGATTGGGGAATTTTTTAACAATGAAAAATGCTTTTTATTATAAAAAAGAATGTTATTTACAGATTTTAAATAGCTATTAATACCATTATATATTCTTTGTTGAGTGTAATTATTCATGAACTATCGAGAGAATGTATTTAAATGATAATGTCGTGTTTTTATGTTCAGGTTAGGTATATTTTACATCAAGGTGCCTTATTAAATCGTTCTTTCGCAAGGGCATGTATACACTAAATAAATCTTAACCATTTCTTGAATATAAATAAAGGATATTTTCCTTAACTTGAAAAGTGCTGCTGCTTTCTTTAAATCGAAGGCGTGATTTTATAAGTACAAGAAATATTTGGTAAAAGTCAAACATATTTCGACATTGGCCTATTTACTTGAAAATTTAATCATTAAAACGCGAATTCTTTTCAAAGCAGCAGCACTTTCCAGAAAGTACAAAGTATGGAAAAACAATTAATAGCTTGCTTGAATCTTTAATTTCAACTAGGCTATGCCCCTGCGATAATGAAATTTGTTAATGACCTACATTCAGTACACATACTATGCATTCATCACGTGACTGTCCATCGATGGGACCAAACTTCATTCAGTACAGAGTAGGTTATACTATGCTATTTCCGTAAGTATTTAAGTTGCTTGATAATATAACAGCTGAATAAAAATATATTCAGATTTAAAAACAATACCCGTTTTTGCAATTCTATTTTCCGTTGATTTCTCATAGTACTTT